TTGGCTGAGACTTCACTCAATTGAATTCCACCAATCAACCCCTTCGCGACGCACTCATCCAAAGCCTTAACAGTATCCTCAATCGGCGTAATCTTATCCTGTCTCGCCATGCCAAACAGATCAATATGCTTGCGACCTCCTAAAATCTTATTCGCATTCTCAACATACTTATAGACCGCCTCCGGCGAACTATCCATCGTAAATGTCTTCCTGTCCGCAAAACCACTCTTGATACAGAGAACAACTTTCTCAGCATCTTCAGGATATGCTGCGAAGTAGCGCGCGAGGAGATGCAGCGAGTTATTTTCGGCAGAGCCGTAAAAATCGGCGCCATTCCAAACATTTACTCCGGCTGCGAGAGCGGCTTTTAGGACGGGGAACGAAACGCTGTCGGGTGTGTGCGCGCCGCGCCAGGTCATACCTGTGGGGAGTAGTGAGCGTTCGATGACTGGAAAAGGTTGGGATGGTGTGCGATGGTGAGGGTGAGACTTACGCATGAGACCTAGGCCGTTTTGGGATATTTCTTTTCCTGCGAGAATAGGCATTTTTGTCTAGGAGGTAGAATTTAGGTTGTTGTTGGTAAGAGAGAGAGAGAGAGAGAGAGAGAGAGAGAGAGAGAGAGAGAGTACACAGAGCTCTGGTACAAGAGAGGAAAAGTTATATATAGGGAAAACGATGTAGTAGTAAAAAAGGCTTTCGAAGAAAAAAGTTCAAAGTTGATACTGAACAAATAGGAACTCTCGGAGTTAATAGTGAACTACCGGACGTGCAGTTGGAAGAGGAAGGTACGAGTGGCATGTGACAATGATGGTGATGGTGACACAGATCGCATATCGCGGTGTCTCTAATGTCTTGAATCGGACTTTGAAACCAAACTTTCGAGAATGACTTGCCGTAGTTCTCGAAGTTTTCATTTTTTTCGTCATTGTGAAATTGTTTTGCGCGTTAGGGGTTGGGTCATGCACGCGAATCAAGGTTCGGATTAGTGATAACTTGCATATAGAATTCACATGTCTTGGATACTATCTAGCTAATATCGATTCATCATTTAATTTCAAGACTCGGACATATTTTGTTACGACTGTGGTAGAAAATGGTATCATATTATGAACATCCATCCAAGGTTTTGACCATTGTGAAATGATTCCACAAGCCAAATATGTCACGAAACTTCCCGTGGTATGATATGTCTGAATTCTAGTGTTCCCCGAGAGGAATGTTGAACTCTTACTGTCTCATTACCCTTCACATTCGCTCACTACATAGGAAAAGATTGTGCTCGGATTTTGTCATCCAGTCAAACACCGATATCTCCGGTCTCATAGGTGAAGAAGCGAAGGTTTGAGTAACGGTCGCTCTCATGATGTGGCTTGGTATGAAAAATTGCTTGATTTGAAGTGGGGTTTCAGACATGTTTAAGTATCGACGAATGAAAAGTCAGTCTCTGGTACAAACATCATCTGGGTGAGTTCAGGAATACGGCCAATCGGAAGAGACATTACGAAAAGGGGGTTTGGTTTCAGTAGGCGAGACTATGTCGTATTGTCATTCAGGAATACTAACTACACGGCTCAAGATTTCTGGCTATCTTTAATGGCAGTGAGTCTCACATTTGAGGAATCTACACGGAATTACTTAACGGATATGATGTAAGAAAATACTTAAACATCAAGCAACAAAAGAGAGCCTGATTAGCTGTAATTAAATTGTTTAGATTGATCACTATCGTCTTAATCTCACCTAATATATACAAAGAATGAAAAGCATTTGACAGTGCTTTAAAAAAACGGCAATAGCAATATCAAAACATACAATGACAGATTGATTACTTCTCACTTCACAACTGTATCTCAAGAAATCAGCTCACTGTTCGTGCTACACTACCGTAGGTACTACTTCCTCCTATGTTCTCAGCTGTAAAACCAGAAAAACACTTCTTCCCTATGAGGCAAAGAGTATGTATTTAATAGAAACAAAGAAGAGGGAGTGCAATTGAGTATATAGAGGAAAAATGGCTGATTTATACTGATTAAATTCACGCCCGAATCGGTACGGACCGGACAAACTTTTTCAATTCGGGATCATTTTCGAATTTGTAGTCTCTTAGGACTCAAGAAAATCAAGCATAACTTGCATCTTTGCATGAGCTCAGTACAAACGATGATGATATTTACTATAAATACGCCTTGATATCCTCTCTAGCCTTCTACTACCAACGCCTTGATGGTTGATAGAATGGCTACGAGGGCTATGAACTCTGGAATATATTCTGCTGGGTAAGGCAGAGAGAATTGGAACTTGTCTTTCTACAAGGCTTCTTGCAACTTTTCACGGCTCCATGATTTCACTCTTAACATCTGTTGCTGTCCAAGACACGAAGGTAGAGACAATAAGCGGGTGAAGATGACGGTGAAAGTGGTGAAGTGATAACAAGGAAAGGGATGAGGGAATAGCAATAAAATTGAAAGATTATACAGCAATAGATACACTGATCCATAATTAAATTTCCATGAAAGATACTCAATATTCGTCCCCTTTCAAACACACCACCAACAACACCGATCATTGCTTTGCCGCAGTAAAATCTACCAACCAAAAAATGGTCTCTTCTGGAAATACTCAAACTCCAGGTCCCATATCCCACATTTGTTTCAAACTTGGGAGTGGCGAGTGGAGAACGTTAGGGGTGGTTGAACGAAGTATATATAGGAAAATGGGCTTTTCCGTGCTAGCCCAATCAAAGTGTGCAAACAGGAAAAAGTTGTCCAAAATTGGCTCTAATTCTAGGATCTGACTGGAAAAGTCACCATCCATCCTTCCTTTCTTCCTCTGTACACATCAATTCCGTTTTCATCAAAGACTTAGGGGTGATTGGAGCAAGCCTCGCTCGTTCTTACGTAGATGCCAACGTGACTTTGGTGGTTGTATTGTTTTGTTACAACTGGAACTTTGAGATCAAGTATACTTTACTCGGTGAATGCAATTTGAAGAGGAGCACATGAATTTCTAAGTATTGATGATAAAAGGCTGTTTGTGGGTGACGCAAATTCGTGGTGACAGTGAAATCTTACAATTGTAGTTTCAAGAATTGTGCCAACGACAACACATGAAACGTGATTTCGACAGTGAGAGAGTGAAAAAATCACTAGACGATCATACTTGTCTGCGTGAGTTTGGCCCTTCGGTTAACTCCACGGCATTTGGTAGAGTCTGCGAAGTGAGAGGAGCAAAAGATGTTTATACTATCCCTCGAGCTTGGGAAAGCACCGAGCCGTCTCTCGTACTCCTTTTCCTACTTTACTTTATCCGAAGTGGCAGATAGCAGTCAATTATACCACCAAGCGGTCTTTGGGGCTATCATCGCTTAATAGAAGCAGTAGCCTCAGAACCGAAATTAGCATCCTTCCATTCTTTCGTCATCGTTTCAACTCAATACTGTCAATTGTATCGTTGTTATAATCTTTAATTCATCATTGCCATTAATTCCATAGTATCATAGTACGCAAAACGATTCGACGACGGCGGGCATCACTTCAACAGGTATCTCAAGAGCACACACAGTCTGTTTGTCTTGCAGAAATTTGTAAAGATAATCCCGCATATGTACCTAACCCCCAACCAAATGCAACACACCATCCCGATCTAAACAATACCGCAATAGCTTATGAGAGAATTAATGAGAGTATTAAAGGAGAAAAAGAAGGTTTAAATAGTAAAAAGGCCTGGTACGTACGAGCCCGATCTACAGCTCGAAGTCAGGCAAACAAGACAAACTCATCCAGATCAGATCTAGCGCATTTCATATTGCTCATCGCACCCATGGCTGAGCAAATAGGTCAAACTTGTTTGAACCTAGTTTAATGTAGTATGTCTCCGTTCAGAGAAACGAACATACTCTATCTCTGTGAATGAGAGCCACAAGAAGAATTAGAAAGTCTATGTTCAACCCCACTGAGAATATCATGAAAGCGTAAAAATCACATTGATATCTTTTCAACAGCCTATACAATTACTACCCGAGTGGATCACGGCCTCAAAACTGCACCATACTCGATTAGGACGAGCTTGTCCTGTTTGTGTAGAATTCAAACCCTCGATTGAGCTCACACGGACAACACCATTTTTCTATTTAAATGTTCCTCTGTCTTATCGACTTCTCCTCTTTCTTTTCCTTCAAACCGCACAAGCCGTGTTCTCGCCGCTCTGTACAGGCAGTTTCTTTCTTGGCTGTTTTCTCTGTGCATTTTTTACCTCGTGAGAAGGGTGTCGTGTGTTTGAGCCGTAAGCCTGTAGACTGACGACTCCTCGATAGATTAGATGCGACAGTCAGCAACGTTTTTTCTAGTGAAAGTAAAATGCTCGTTGCCATTAAGTCTGTTTTTTTTGTCATTGATTCGGTTATGCAAATAGCTTTGAGCAACATTGCCTCGGCAAAACTAGAATAATCACTTTCGTTTAAGCTACATTTTTGTTTTAGTGGTTCAACTAAACTTTCTTTCCGTGTTTCTGCTAGAATCTACTCTCATTCCAGAGCACCATGACGCCGCGCAACAAGTAGTTCCGTATGAGAAGCCAATCGTTCAACTTTCCACACCTCCTGAAAGAGAAGACCTGAGTGCTTATTTCTGAAAGGATAGGAGAGAAAGAGTTGGAGAAGGAGAAGGGTTTCAAATAGGAAAGCCGGCTGGTCTGTGCTAGCCCAATACGTTTGAGCAAACAGGACAAATAGGACAACCAGAACAAACAAGTTCCAATTAGGTAGTAGCTTTTCCCTCGAGCCTTGATCCACTTTACTGCCGATTTAATGGGAACATTGACGTCTCCAAGATGTTCCAGATAGGAGCAGACATTCAAACTCGCCTGGAACTATTTCTACCAAATACATTCTACATTTAAGTCTAATCGAATGACTATTTCCAGATTTGATATCAAGAACCCAGATCAGCAATAGAAACTAGACCTCGAACCTATACAAACTTATACATCACCACCCCACTCCACTATCCCCTTCTCTCTCTCCAGCCCTCTCCCCACCATATCAACATTCCCACTGGTATATAGCTCAATCCCAAAAGACTAGCGAATATGAGCCACGCCCAGAAGTAGCCGATACTTTCCGCTAGAGGTAAAGCAAAATAACCCACTACGAATGACAGTCCTCTCGAAAGATTGAAAAGTATCCCCGTCTCCGGAGTCTGCGGCTTATAACAATCGGAGATGTAAGAGTAGAGCGTTGTGGAGCATATTTGAAGACCGAAAGAACCTATACGCAGCAGAGATGATTTGTCAGTTTCCAGAATTGTGATGATGCAGAATAAAGTAGGAATGCTGTTAGAGACCTACCTATCCCAAGCCCAACCAAAGGTCCCACAAACCCCGTTTTCCCCAAAAGTCCCCCGAATATCAAAAGTCCAGCGGGCATGAAAATTGCAGATAGAGGCGAGAGATATAAACGATACTCCGGTTTTCTCACACCGTCATATCTTTGGGCCATATGGTACATGATGGCATCTGAAGCACGACCAGCACAGAGCTCGCCTATCATGCTTCCGATCGTGAGGGAGATACCTAGAGAGACACCTATAGGTCCGCTTTTGAGATGGTAAAATTTGGTATAGATGGTGGCTAGAGAAATGGCAGGGAGAACATTGATAAATGTCCAGGCTAATGTGTAGTACCAGAATGTAAACAATACTGATGGGTAACTCAGCATGCGGAATGCGTACGAAAAGTCCCGCATGTGTAGTGTTCTCGTGGTGTTTTTGTTCCCCTTGAAATTGAATAACATCTCGAAGTACGTTCGCTCGTGTTTTTTCGTGGTAAGAGCCACGGTATCGCGACAAAATAGAGTTTCTGGGAAGAAGAAAATAGCAAAAAGAAGAGCTGAACCGGTGATAATGACACCAACCCAATAATCCCATTGCCAACCACCTGCTTGGCCTATGTAGCCACCAATAACTGCGGCTATATGAGCACCATTTGTCACAAAAACGGAATATATACCCGTTTTCTCTCCCCGCTCGTGGAGGAAAAACACATCGTTGACAACGGCTGTACCTACGGACATCATTCCACCCATTCCGACGCCACATATTGCACGTGTTCCGACTAGTGTAGCGAAGTTTGGCGAACAGGCAGAGCCAATCCCGCCGATAACAGTCGTTGACATTGAAAGGAGAGCAATTGGTCGACGGCCATAAACATTAGTACAAGGGTTCCAGATGAAAGGCTGTGGAATGTTGGTCAGATATTTGTTCGTATGAAGAATATATGACCTGCTTACAGAGAGGCCACCAATGATTATACATGTGGTTGTGCTATACGCAGCGGTGTTGGAGCTAACACCCATAGCTTTGCTTAAAAGAACTAAGCTAGGATTAATCGCTGCGGCGTTGAATGGACCTAAGAATGCCATGAAGCTAACTTGAATTAACACTGTCCATTTCAGCCAGACAGGCCAATTCTGGAAAGTGTTAGCCGCGGGTTATTCCCGACCAGAATCTAATGTTCCGGACTGCAGTTTGATACTCGTAAACTTTCAAGACCTTAATAAAACTAGAAACGCAGTGTCTGAGAGCTGAATATATGGCGAACATGATACTATCCCGATGAGAAATTGAAAGCTCCTGATTATCAAACTGCACTACAGACTATTGGAAATACCATTGGTGACAGAAAGATTGTAAAAACTAACCAAAGGATCATCTTTGAAACGACTAGGCTGAGGGACAAGTGGTAGACCATGATGATCTAATATGGTAGCTGAAGCTTGCGAAATGGTGCTATCAATCTCAAGATTCGCTGATGTTGTCTTTTCGCTACTCCCTTTAGGACTCATTGTGTGATTTTTGCTATCACCATGAAACCCTTGATCATCTGACATCGTGATTAATGGCATTTAACGTTTCTACTATTGAAACAATATTTAAGAATGAAGCGAGGATTGGTGGTACATAAATACTTCAAGTCGACGGCTTTCGGAGCTCGAAGTGCCGCATGGTCCCGTCAATACGGTTCGCTCGCCCGAACCCCTCCCTATCGGATGTCCGGATTGTTTGCCAACCAACATTGGCAATGACTTGTAGCCCAATTGAAAAGAAATTGCATTCTGTGATTTACTTCTATATTCAATATATCGATGAAAGGTATCAAAAGTTCATGAGCCGTGAAAAGTATCGGAATCACTTGATACTATGATTTTACAACCAATCGACCCATTTCCACAAATTTATAAGCGCTTGAATATCGCAAAACTGCAAATCCAGACGGCAGCCGGCACTCAGGTCTATTGAATTTCACAGCGCCAAGAGTTGATCAGCGTCAATTTACCATCTTTTTCCAAAATCAGGATCAACTTTGGTGACATTCGCATTTTACCATTTAAATTGAACTTGTATGACAATTTGACAAGCGAGGTCCACCAAGCTGGCTATTGAAGAATTTTCTCTGGGCGGAATATGCAATCAACCACGACGTGCAGATTAAGTTATGGAGCTTATATCATTATTGGCATGGTGTAACTGTTTGTTGCTGTATGCTAGTGATTCGATGACAGAGATATAATTTGATTGGTATGACTTGTGACGAAGCGTCTTATGCTAGTAATTATCCGGATAAACGAGGTCTAAGCTCTACCAATAATGTTATCACATTGACCTCCAGCCGCAATACTGTCAAAGTACTGCAGAAATATGGTCCAAGGTCTTGTAGGCATCATAACCAAATAGTTCATCCAAGAATTCCTGCCGGGACCGTATATTCATATGTCCTTGCCAAATACCAGGATGGGTCAATAGATATTCATCCCTAAGTTTTTGCGTATCTCCATCAGGCATTTGTGTAAAGTATCGTGATTCGATTGAGGCTTTAGCAACCTTCGCAGTCCGCTTTCGTCGAAGATTACAGTACATCGATAATACTTCTGGAAGAGAATCCTTAGTAGGAAACTTCTCCAGAAGCGCGCCAAGTATAGCTGCATCCTCGATACCCATGGCTGCTCCTTGTGCGAGATAAGGCGTCATAGCATGGGCTGCGTCTCCAATCAGACAAAGTTTTCCTGAGTTATGGACCCAGTTATCTAGTTCTTCATGAGTATACAGCTGTCGCGCGTATGCGTTAGCAAGTCTTTCATAAATAAGGACAGTAATCCTACCCTCCATTCTAAGGCGGTATCCACATGATCAAGGATCATTCCAATTCTGTTAATGCGTCAGCCGTTGTTATATCCCCCTGTAACGTCGCAATTACCTTGTATCCCAATCTTTGAATCTGTCTCGAAGCTCTGCGCTGCTTTGGATCCGCTGGTTTGTTCCATCCGGCATATTTGCGTCACATCTGAAATTGTCACCAAAATTGTCAAGCTAAGCACCAAAAGGGATATACTGACGTGAAGACAAGATTCAATAGTTTTTCCTCCTTTCCCTCCAGCAGATATGATAAAATGGTCGCATTGGGACCAAGCCAGTGGTTGTTTCGAGGAACGGAGATAATTTCCTCCAACTCGGGAATGCCTTCAAGCTTTTTGGCTGGCAGTACTACACGATACGCCATTTGACCAGTTGGAATGGGTGCTCCAGCTCTGCCTAGAATGACTTCGCGGGCCATTGAATGTAGACCTGCATTTTGACTGTCAGACTTGAAATATTATTAGAGCCAGTGGTTAACTTAGTCACCATCAGATGCGACGATCAAGTCTGCAGAGTAAATTTTGCCATCTTGTGTCGAAAGCGCGGGCAAGGAAGGATCAATATTGACCACACGACTGTTCAATCGAATTTTGCAACCAAGATTCGTCGCAGCGTCAAGTAATCCACGATGGAGATCCGCACGATGAACATGCCTATTTTCTATCAGTCTATTTGTACAATCAAGTGAGTTTAACTAACCAGTATGGAGACATATAATCATTTTCCGCAGGCTCTTTCAACGGACATTCAACAAGAATCTGACCATCTTTCCAGCGCATCATCCTCAAATCCACTGGATTTGTACAATACTTCTCAATGTATGAATCGATTCCCAACTTACGAAGGATCTTTGAAGAATTTGGTGTGACCTGAATACCTACAAATCGTGAACAGATGCACATCAAATCGATGTGCTGAATTGCAATGAGTGCACCCGCGTCACTTACCAGCTCCAACGTAAGAGATCCGCTCAGAACTTTCTAGTATCTCCACAGTATGACCTCCTTTTGCAAGTGCTATAGATATGGTGAGGCCAGCAAGCCCACAGCCAATAATTAAGATGTGCTATCCCTGTCAGATTCTAGTTCCTAAAATGATACGCGGAAGATCAAATACCATGTTGAAGCCAAGTTACTTTGTACTTGATTGTTCAATAGCCATCAAACAGATGGAAATAATGACGAGAGTTGAGATGACAGTGAAGATTTCAATTGAGAATGATGTCTCTACCTTTTTATTTCTTCATGAAAAACAAGTGGCGGACACGTAGATTGTAGGGTGGTCAAGACGGATGGATACTTCCGTTTCCCTTCCCGGAAGGTAAAGTTTTGTCATGATCGCAACTACCTAACGGCTTTGTGACTAGTCTAATAATTACACACAATAGCATTGAATATAGATAATATATTGCTGCATGATTAGAACATCGAAAAAGTATACACTGGTCAGGCCTAGCCGGATGTAATGAAATTCGAGGCTGAAAGCGCCAAGCCAATTGCAATCGACTCAAACATAAAAGTGCAACAACGGCGAGTATAACATGATACAAAGAAGCTCGATATATTGAAACAAGATGACACAACTGAGAAGGTATAGGATAACTTTTGCTAATGTAGTAATGTCCATTTCTCAAAGTCCTGGTTCTCATGCAAAGCATGCAAGTAATACCACCAACCTTTAACCATCCAATTCCTTTCTAGCAGTTCCCAAATGCTTCACATGCATATATGCATGCATAGCCGCCCTTCAACATAAAAAGCGTTTAACAGCCCAGGTTTCCAATAAATCCTTTACAAGGAGCCGTGTAATGAGTCTACGATAGACCCGGTCTATTTACAGCACACATCACAGCATACAGCTCACCGTTTAATCGTGTCATCATCAAAACAATATCTTGGCATAATGCTCAATCTTGTCTCTTTTCCTTTGCTTCCTCCAATTTCTTTTTCCCTTCTGCATGCTTCGCCATCTTTTCACTCATATACCGCCAAGTTCGACGGAATCCAGCTGTGAAGGGTCCCTTCAAACTCTGACTCGTACTAGGCCACCCAATCGTGTTCTTGATCACACTTCGGACTTCAGACCTTAAATCTTCTGGAGGTTCTCGAGCAATCCTTCTTTCAAATCCACCTCCTTCTCTCCTATTAATCCTGGTCCCATCTTCATCACGCGAAGCCTCAATCATTTGATCAAATTCCAGTCGAGGTATTTGGTATTTCTTCTGATATTGGAAGTAGAGCTTCGATCGGAATGATTTTGGCAGACGTCTCACCATGTTTCCCCGTCGAATTGGATCCATATCTTGAGTTAACCGTATATTTGTTGATGGATCAGATGCCCATTCTGGATCAGAGCACTTAGAATCGTCAAAGCCGACATTAGGAAGGTTGTCAATGAGGGGCGCATAGAGACGGCGGAAGTGAGGAAGGTTATTCCCAACAATATTGGCGACTTTTGACGGATCCTCTGTCGGTAAAACCATCCTTGGATCGCCCAAGTAACTGATGTTTGCAATGGTGCCATACAGTTCCTGTTCGGTAAATTCAGGAGGTAAAAGTAACAATGCTGTTCGCAATGCAGAGATTAAATTAACCTGATTCGCAAGACGGACTCTTGCGTCGTCCCGGAGAATTTTAACAGGCTTCTGTAACCTCCCTGCAAGATACAGTGTTGACCACTCGGAAAGATCTGTACACAATGTATCCAGATTAACGACACCATATTTAATAAGAGTGCCATTGACCGTAACGTATGGATTGAAATAGACACCAGCTCCCCATTTTTCTTGCACAGCAGTAACAGCCCCAGATCCGAGGGAGCCGAGCGCCGAGTAATGATCTCGATGTTGATTTAAGTTCAGGGAATGCCAATGTTGACTGTAGGATACACCAAATATAAAGTCAATCATCTTAGGGGTGCCTCCTTGTTGTTCAATAATTGCTGGGGGTGGTTTTGAATGGATGGATGTAATGCTTGAAGGTTTCGCTTTCGTATGTTTCGATTGAGGGAAGACGCCGGATCCATACGCAAATGCATACCTAATGGGGGCTTTGAATTGCCATAAAATCTGCCTCAAAGCTTCTTTGAACTCATCATTAATAACCATGTGCTGATTGACCCCAAAATTAGAATGAGGTAGTTCTGAGAACTTCTCGATATTGTAGTTCGGATTCTCTTCCCAATCTGCCGGGGCTGGAATATCGCTGGCCAAACTTGACGATGGAGAAGAGGAAGGCGAGGAAGATCTGGCAGATTCTGGACCAGTGGAGTCCTCATGTGCGGATTTTGTTTGCGAGTCTGTAGTTTCTTTGGAAGCAATGGCAGGGCTGTGCGTCGTAGAGAAAGTATGATGAATCAATTGATATGGACATCTTGCCTGAGCGTATGATACTGAGGAGCCTACTCTGGTTGGTCTGAGAGCTGATCTCAGAGCCTGCCAAAGAGCTGTTAGCTACAGAGCATAGAACAATAGGAAGGGATTTGTGCCAGTACAGGGAGCTTTCGGGTTGCCATGGTGTTAGGTTTTTAAGGAGATGTGCTCCCATGTGAAGTACTTTTGTTTGTTGTTGGAAGAATTATTCTGAAGCAGCAAGTCGCTGCGAAAGTGTCACCGGCTGTATTTCGCCATGTGAATACGTTGTTGAATCTCCATCTCCATGGGAAAGTATGGAGCTATCAAGGGCAAGGAAACCCACCTTTTCTTTCTCGAAGTTAATCTTAGTCAGCAAGCAGTTGGTGCCCCGTGTTGAGTCTTTTGTTGGCGTTGATGTTTCTTCTTAGTAGCGGGAGGGGCCAGACCGAGCCAAGCCAGAGCCAGCCAGGTACAGATCAATTGGACAAGTCTTGGTCCAAGAAAGTTAAAAAACAGACTTGTGAGAGTTTTGAGAAGAGAGTGCTCCGTATGTACCTAGTACCTGGTAATATATATGCACGCACATGCACCGTACAAAGGATTCAAGTAGAGCTTCGGAGGCTGTGACATGAATACATACCTAGGTAGGTATATATCTAGATGACTTATTATTGCCGGTCAAGAGTCCTATCCAGCATCGCATCTAGATGCTACATAGGAAGAAGGGAGAAGGTCACATGATTCAACTGACGACCTAGGGACGGAATAGATTGGAGTAAGTAATCAATGTTCATGTTCCTATTCCAGCCAATTTTATCATTGAAAGAGCATCCTTTGAGACAACATACAATGAATGGTAAATCGTCAAATACCTACCTACCTACCTACCTAGTACATGTACATACACACACCTATCTACTCGTGGTGCTAGCTTATGTTCTAACCATCTCTCAAAATTCACTTACAACACTCCTCACCCCGCCAACCATTTCCCCATATTTTCTGTTTTCTCCGGTACCTTGATTATGTAATACATATTATCTCCTCTCCATTCTCAGCCTTGCATCACAGATTCATGTTTGCGACAACTATCGACGTAACGCCAAAACATAAACCCGCAGGTAGCGGTACGTATCAGAGATGAGGGCGCATACTCCTCAAGGTTTGGGAGATTCTCAAAGGAGGAGATCCTCGACTAGCGGCGGTAATAGAATGAGTATGGGTAGTGCTATTCCTCGTGCGCAATCTAGGGTAAGGAAATGATCTTTTTGTCTTGCAATGTTACTTGTACACAATTGCATTATCTCACGGGAATACAATTCATTAGATGTCTATCGCACGACCATCGAATACTCAACCCAGTTTCGACTTTTTGACAGGCGCGGAGTCTACCCATAGACCGCCATCGCGAACAGATCGATTTCGCCAATCAACCAGAACCATTCTCGATGAATCTAGAAGAGAGCCAACTCACTCCGAGACGGATCAAGAGGTGGAGAAAAGAAGAAAAGAATTGGATGAATTAAAGGCCGAGGTGAAGACGCTGAAATACACAATTGATAATCACAAGCAAGAAGAAGAGCTTGCGAAGTTGAGGCATGAAAATGAACTCCGGGATGCGACACGTAAAGCTGAAGAGGATTTCAAGCACAAGCAAATTGCAGAAGGAGAAAGGAACCAGGCAGTGAGGCAATATGAAGCTTTGGTTAAAGAGATGAGTGAACTTCGCGACAATTCAAGTAACGAGAAGATAGCACTGGAGAAAAGAGTGCGTGAGATGGAGGAAAGCAAGCGTCTCCTGGAAGAAGAAATTGAGGATGTGAAAACTGAGAGCGAGGAGGGGAGTCGTATATTGGAAAGGAGAATCTCGGAGCTTGAAACGAGAAATCAGACCTTACAACGCAGCGTCCAAGATTTACAGGAGGATTCCGATCGAAGGGAAGCCTTGTTACAGGATGTTCAGCAACAATTGGCCGAAAAGGATACATCATATGGAGCACTTGAGGCTGAAGTCCTACGACTTAAGGCACAGACGGGAGATACCGATACACTGGAGGTGATCAAGAGAGAATTGAGCGAGCAAGTTACACACATTCGAAACCTGGAAGCAATGAATCGAGAACAATCGGCCGAACTAAAGCATTACAAGAGACTACATAAGAGTGTGGAGGTTGTTGAAGAAGAGAAACGAACTTTACAGAGAAAAGTTGAGGCTATGGATGATCTACAGAATGAGCTTGGAGAAGCAAGACTTCAAAGACAAAGACTTGAGGATGAGCGTTTAGCATGGACCGCATACCTTCAGAACCAAAGCAATGTTGAAGGTCATATTGAGTTTAATTCCCCGGAAGATCTAGCAAGAGCACTTGTTGAAGAAAGAATGCAAACTGCTACTTTAGTGGAGCGACTTGGTGCTATGGAGTCGGAGGTTCTTGACCGGGACAACATTATTGACGGGTTACAAAATGATAAGAGGTCTATGAGCGAAGAGATGGAGAAAGTCAAGGCGGCTGCAGGAAGCAGTACCAGCGGTGGAGATGCTAAGGTTCGTTTACGATTAGAGAGACAACGCGCTTTGGCCATCAAGGAAGTTGAATATTTGCGAGCGCAGCTTAAGACTTTCGATGCTGAAGATGAAGCTTTCGGAGCTGGCGATAATGTCGATGATGCTAAAATTAAACGCATTGAAGAGCTCGAGAGTATTGTAGATGAATATCGTCAAGAGGTGCAATCTCTCCAAAATGACCTTACGACCGCCGAATCAGCTCAACCCAACACAGCAACAACTCTTGCGGGTACCAAACATCCACGAGAAGAAAACGACGAAAATGAACGCATTGGAGTTCTCACTAGGAAGAACCGTAAACTTCAGGATACTATCACAAGCCTTCAAACATCACAAAAACTCCTCCAGAAAGAACTCTCTGTCACACAAGAACGTCTTACAGTCGCAACCACTCACTCACAGACTCGTATTCTATCCCTCCGTTCCAATCCTACCTCTGACTTTGAGGCAATCAAACTTTCCACCATCACCGCCCTCCGTGCCGAAAATGCAGATCTCCTCGCTCAACTGACCACCAATCTTCCTCCTGATGCCTCAGTTCCTCTATCTACACTTCAAACTCAACAAGACCTAGTTGCAGAATCTCAAGCCGCACTCAAGGATGAACGAACTCGAAATGATCGTCTTAAGAAAGTCTGGGGTCTGAAATCTCAAGAATTTCGCGACGGTGTATCTTCTCTCTTGGGCTGGGACGCTGTATTCATGCCCAATGGTAAAATGCGCGTAACATCTTTCTATTACCCTTCTGTTGGTGAAGAAGAGAACAGTATCGTGTTTGATGGCGAAAGAGGAACAATGAAGGTTAGCGGCGGACCGGAAAGCAAATTTGCTGGAAGGATAATGGAAAACATCAAATTCTGGGTCAACGAAAGAGGTAGCATTCCATGTTTCTTGGCGGCGTTAACCTTGGAGTTTTATGAGGAGAAAAAGGGAGATGGAACTGTAATGGTTGGCTGAGGATATTTGCTTTGTTATGTGTGTAAATTATGGAATGGACATGCATCTAAGGGAATAGGAGTTTATGGGATACATACGACATGTATGAGGTAGAAAGTATACCAAATGACACATTAATCTTGCCTAATCATTTTTCTCAAATCAATCGTGACGTTGGATTTTCTCAACCGCATCTAGATGTGGGGCTAAGCAATGGGCAAGGTATCAATACAGTTGAGGAATTGTCTTTGATATATTCGCTATGACATTTCCAATCGTTCGAAACTTACTTCCGCTGCTTCTGTGCCATCTTAATTACTCGCAGCTTACACCATCCCCTCTCAAGTCCATTCTTGGCTTCAAAAACTCAAAGCAAAGATATCAAAATATCAAGTATATATACAATAGAACTAGAATGTCGCCTCTTTTCCACCAAATTCCCTTCCATCATCCTTTCTTTCTTTCCCTCCTTTTGAATCCCTCCTCCATGTGTCATCCCAACCTAAGAATGCCCATCAATAATCAAACATTATCCTTCCCTTGACAAGTAGATGGATGAGATAGTCACCCATCAATCTCACTAATCTACTCGCCACATTCTCTCTCCTTTCCTTTCCTTTCAAAACCCAAACATAACGCCATTAAATGAGTGTATTGGGTATCTTCCTCCGTCCATTTCTTCCCTTCCATGCATACATGCATACATCATTCATACCGAATTAAAAGACCGTGATTTCGCATTTCCATACCATGCATGTATGCGCATTTTCGTAAAGATCGTAATGTATCATTTTCTCCCTCGTCAAGATTATGATTAAAAATAAGGATCGTGTGTATCATGTGTTTTTGTCGAGCATGTCTTATTGAGACATGAAAAAAAAAAAAAAAAAAAAAAAAAAAATATAAGGTATAAAACTGATCATGATACGTAAATATGACTGTCGCTCGCTTCTTTTCGTTTCATTTCGTTTCGCCCATTCGTGTCGCCCAGTCGTGGGAATATATAAAATACCAAAGCTGAATATCGAAGAATAAAATACAGAGTAAAAGGAATCATATTACTGCTAGCCCATGAGTCCCACAAGTAACATTGCCATCAATGAGAAGAACACTGAAGGCTTCAGTTTGGCTCCAGCACCTTCAGCAGGCCCAGTACCTGAAGGGCTTGCAGATCCAGAGCTGGTGGGTGAAGAGCTAGTTTGCGATTTCGTTGTAGGAGTTGGACTTGAGGTTTGAGATTGGAGGGATGATTCAGAGCTAGATGTCGAGCTAGATCCCGAATTTGACGTGGTACTGGAGCCTGAGCCTGATCCTGAGCCTGTGGTGCTTATACTGAGGACAGTCGAGGCTGTTGTGGATGGTAATATGCTTCCAGTTCCGGTTTCGGTTCCAGTTCCGGTCCCAGTTCCTGTCCCACTTTCGCCCCCACTTCTACTTCCACTTCCAGAAGCTGTCGGGACGCTAACGACCGCTGAAGAAGATCCAGATGAATTGACGTCGGTGGAAATCAGTGTTGAAGCAGAAGACGTATCAACCGGAGCAATTTGGCTCGTAATACTAACACTCGGGGTAGCGCTTGCAGTCGGGCTTGCACTAGCACTGGAGCTTAATGCAGCACTCGAACTACTGGTAGTAGCAGCTGGTTTGACCGTGCTACTGCTCGCCTCAACCGGTAAAACGGTTGCGGTTTTTGTCACAACCTGGGTTTCCGTACTACCCGCGACCTCACTCTGTGGTGCCTGCGCACTGCAGAAATCCAAGAACTGTTCAAATTGTGGCTCTATGTATGTTTGCAGTGTTTCTTTCACAGTGTTGCTATTCGCATCAATACACGCTGTACAGGCGCCATAATCAGATTCGAAAGCGGAGTTGGGATCGCAGAGAGCGGGAGATTTGCCCACTTTGAGCGCTTCAACGTAGCCATTGTTACACGTGGAGTAGCAAACTGCGGGAACAACAGTAGCATCCCTTTTGGTGAGGAGATTGAGATGTGCGGTGTCTGATTTGCGCTTTCCTGCAAAGAGTCGGGGAAGAAGCCCGCGACGGGCTGGAGCGGAAGGTGTGGCGAGTGCGGAGGTAGAAAGTCCGGTTCGGGTTCCAGCTGGGTAGTGAGAAATATCTGTTTGGGATGTCCAGTCGCCGGTAGTGTAAGTCTTGACAAGTTCTGTTCCTTCATTACCAATGATGATTTCGGTGACGACTTTCTCAATGAAAATTCCAAAGCTGAGACCAAACGCATTGGGATTGAGATTGAAATATCCGGCTGATGGTGGGTAGTACCCAGTTTGGTTCTGTGCCCAGTATACTTCAGTTGTATTAGGAGATGGAATACAGTATTTTGCTTCACATAGATAGTCTGCAGCAGGAGGATCGGCCCATAAAGCACAATGATCTGGCTTGGGTGGGTTACAAACGTATCCTGGTGAGCATCCGAAAACCGCTGATGAGCTGGAGTCTTGAGGAATTACTGAACCAGAGTTTGTAGGCGATGGACAAGTTATCAATTCGGTCACGGTTACAGTGGATCCGGGCCCAGTCACATATGCTGTTGATCCTGTCAAGGTTGCGCCGAGACTTATGGTCGTTGGATAGATACTGACGGAACCTGGAAGAGTTGATATCACGGTTGATCCTGCCTGAGTGAGGGTCACTGTTGGGCCTGCAATGGATTGAGTCACAGTTGAGATTGAGACTGAACCAGGAAGGGTTGTTACCGATCCAGGGAGAATAGTTATTGATCCTGGTAAGGTGATTGTCTGTCCTGGGGCTGTGAAAGTCGATCCTTGAATGGTAGTAGTCTGTCCCGGGAGTGTGGTAACCGATCCTGGTAGAGTGACTGTTGAGGCTGGTAACGTGATGGTTTGGCCAGGGGTTTTCGATGCAGGCAAAGTTATGGTTGAACCGGGAAGAGTTGTTACAGATCCAGGGAGAGTAGTTATCGACCCAGGCAAAGTAATTGTCTGCCCTGGAGCCGTAAAGGTTGACCCTTGAATGGTAGTAGTCAGTCCCGGGAGAGTAGTAACCGATCCTGGTAGAGTAACTGTTGAGGCTGGTAGAGTTATAGTCTGACCAGGAATTGTTGATCCAGGTAAGGTTATAGTTGATCCCGAAAGGATTATAGTTGATGTACTACCTGGCTGGGTTATAGTTGTCAGGGATCCTGATATCGATGTTGTAACTGTAGGACCAGGGATTGTTTGAATTGATGTTACTGCAGGGAGAGTAACAGTCGTCAAAGATCCGGATAATGAGACTGTTGGGCCAGAAACTGTCAAGACTGAGGTGCTACCAGGTAAGGTGATGGTAGTTAACGATCCAGACAAAGAAGCCGTGATGGTTTGAGCAGGAACTTTACCAAGTCAGTATGAACTCTATTTAGCATTGTTCATTAACTTACGTGAGGTGGTAGCGTAAACATTGGATGTTACCGTTGGGCCCGAAACTGTCAAAACGGAGGTACTACCAGGCAATGTGATAGTGGTCAAAGATCCTGATATTGAAGTGGTGATGGTTTGGGCAGGAACTTCACCAATTAGCCTAAATTCTATCTAACAATATTCATTCACTTACGTGAGGTGGTAATGTAAACATTGGATGTTATGGTTGGCCCTGAAACCGTCAAGACGGAGGTGGAGCCAGGTAAGGTGATCGTAGTCAAAGATCCTGATATCGACGTCGTAATTGTTGGACCGGGAACTAGAAATTATCAGCACAGAATTTAGAAAACCAATGGCACCAGGCTCACCTGAAGTAGTAATATAAACATCCGATGTAACAGTACTTGCGGGAAGGGTAATCAGTGACGTGATATATAGTTCAGAGGTGATCGTCTTGATAACAGATACAGTTGATGCAGGCTCTGTTATCGTGATTGGGGTCCCAGAAATTGAAGTGGTAAGGGTAACGGGAGGAAGTGTAATGATATCGATCGAGGTGAGAGTTGCGACTACAGGATTAGTATAAATCAGAAGGCCTCATGTTGCTTTAAACTTACTAGATATTGCGGTTGTGGTAGTAGCTAAATCGGATCAGCATTGTACACGTCAGAAGCATATGATATGTTTACTCACTCTGGAAATCAGTGGTTGTGTAGCTAGCGGTTGTTGCTGTATTCCAATCAGTTCTTATATCCAACTGTCACACTTCGAAAGGTACTCACTCTCACTATCTGTTACAGTTGCTGTGGCCGTGCTTGCTATTTTTTGGTAAGTCAACAGCCTAGATAATTTGAAAATGGCTACTTACTTTCAGATCTCGTGACCAAAGATGTATAAGTTGTTGGGACATACTGCGTCGTGGATATAACCTGCGTATATGTTGTTGGGACATATTGAGTTGAGGTGGTCGTATGATCGCTAACAACTGTGGTATATACCGTATATGGATATGAAGTGGAAACAGTGATCGTTGAAAGATGGATTTCTGTCAAAGTGGCGCTGATCGTGGTCAATTCTGTCAAGGTAGTACTATACGTTGAGTAGATATCTGAGATTGAGATACTTGTATATACACTAGTTTCCGTTGTCGTAGTAGGGACCTGGATCTTCATTAGCTAAAGCTGGAAAATTTGCGTGATAGGGGCACTTACCGAAGTTGTACTAGTTATCACACTAGTCTCGGTTGTTGTCGTGGGCACCTAGAGGAAAATCAGTACTTGATCACATGTTTCTTTGAAGAGGAAGACAGACTGAAGTAGTGAGTGTTGATACCGAAGTTAGTTCCTGGGTTGTCGTGTAAGTTGTACTTATATAGGAGGTAGAATAGTAAGTTGTTGAACTAATGATAGTTTGATAGACGGTATAAGGATAAGATGTGGAAACTGTCAGAACCGAGGTGGAGAAATACGAAGAGACGATTGTAGTTGGAACAAGGGAAATTTTGGTAGTAGTAGTTGGTACCAAAATTTCCTTCGTTGTGGTGTATGGAATAGAAGTAGTCTTTGTACTCGTCATTGTATACGTTGAAACCAGTGTATAAGTGCTATAGCTGTATTCGGTTGTTGAGGATATCACGGTAAATGGATATGAAGTCGTCTTTGTAACTGTAGCCGTGGAAAAATATGAATCCGTAATGGTTGTTGGGACCAAGGAAACTTGTGTAGTAGTGGTTGGCACGATGACACTCGTGGTGAGAGTAGAAAGACTGACGTAAGTTGATAGATCTATTATTGTCGTAGTAATATAATCCGTGAAGCTGTGGGTTATATCACTTATGACTGTCTCACTTACAGTATATGGATAAGAAGTGGTTATATAGGAAGTGTCCGTCGTGCTGTAGGTTTCAATTATAGTCGTATAGACGTAAATATCAGAAATTGATACGGAAGTTGAGATTGAAGTCGAAATATCCGTGACAGTGGTAGGTACAGAGGTTGTGAGAGTCAACAAAGAGGTCTCAGTGCTGTAAATATATAGCGTTGTTGAGGAAACGACGGTATAAGGTATACTTGTAGTAATCAAGGAGGTAGAGATGGTTGTGGTAGGTACATATGAGGTCGTGGTCACATAATCAGTTGATATTGAAGTCGAAACATCTGTGATTGTGATGGGTACGGAAGTCGTAAAGGTAATCAGGGAAATTTGAGTGCTGTAAATGTACAAAGTTGTTGAAGATATAACAGTGTATGGTATACTGGTAGTTACAAACGATGTGGAGACAGTCGTAGTAGGTACATATGAGGTGGTGGTCACATAATCCGTTTCAGTATCCGTTTCCGTCGTAGAAAATGTAGTTGTTTCCCGACTAGTGTAATACTCGGTGGTATATTGAGTGTAAGTAGTAGAGTGGTCGGAAATAACAGTTACCGGATAGCTTGTATTCAAGGTATATGTGGAGACAGATGTGAAGAGATGATCCACGGTAGTGGTGATATAAACATCAATCGTTGTGGGTAAAGGTATTGAAGTCGTTGAAGTGACCGTGCTGGTGGTCTCATAAGTTGATACCTCGACTCTCGTAGTAGTTTGCCATAGTGTGTAATTGTTAATAACAGTCACAGGATATGATGAGATAATAGTCACATCTTGCGTGGTAGTATACGTCGAAGGCTGATATATTGTTGTTGGTACGTAATCAGTTGTTTTTGATGTAACCGTGGCAGTTTCATAATCTGTCGTGCCGGTCGTGATGAGTGAAGTGAAAGTCGTTGCGGAATACGATGTGATCGTCGTGAGAGACCCACTTATCGTTTTGGTTATGAATACAGGAACAAACTCGGTGCATATTGTTGTTACCGTCTTAAGTTTTGTAGTTGTATGATCCTGGGTGGTCGTGGTAGTAAAACTAGAAGTATATCTCTCAGTGGTGGTCAGGGTACTATACTTAGTTATTGTAATTGGATATCCATAACTATTAATCAAAGTGGTCGTATATGGGATTGAAGTCGTGATCACATCTGTCAATATGGTGGTCTGCCAAACGAAAGTCGTTGTGGTCTCCTCATCGGTGATGGTGTCAGTTTGAGTTGTGCGATCTAGCTGAGTAGCAGTGAAATTGTAATTTTTAGTCTAGCATGAGAATTAGTACGGGTAAATTAGGAAATCTCAGAGCTAATTACTGTTGTGACAAGATCAGTTTCGGTAAAGCTAGCTGTAGATATGTTGGTCTATTTATTTTCAATATCAGCTCATGACTTTGAACTAAGTCCTAGAATACATACCACTGTGATAACATCCGTCAAAGTCGTAATCGCTGAAATGATACTGGGAGCACTGGAGCCAAATATTAGCGAAGTTTCTAATATTGAGCCTTTGTGCAACGAGTTATAGATATCTCATAATTGTGATTCTTCGGTAGGATGTCCGATAGTCCAGACTGCAGTCCAGCAATCAAATTTTTTAGGGCATCCAGCCCCTTCCAGATATTGGAATTGTTTCAGACATTGAAATAGAATCTTCGATTGAACTACAATCCAAGAATCAAAAACTCTGGAATATTCTACCTCTGCTGAATTTTGAGAGTGATCCAGACATTGAAATTGATTGATCAATAAGATAATTTGAGATACTCACGTTGTCGTGAAAGATTCTGTCTCGGTAGTTTTCTCCGTAATCTATTGTATATCAGCCCGTATCCTGTTGGTGATGATGCTGGAGGATCATACAGTTTGGTTCGCAGTTTGATAACCACCGACGGTTTTAGTTATCTAACTTGTGTAAGCAGCCGAGCTTTATCGTTGATTAGAAGTCAACCTAAGACTTACAGTCTGATTCTGAGTGACTGTCTCCGTGATCTAGAATCCATCAATAAATCGTTTGCTTGACTTCTCGAATCAGATCCACTCACAGTACTTCCTCCATATGGATATCCACCACTTGGGGTGGAGCTCGCGGTCAGAGTAACAGTCTCTGTAACCTTTTTCTAGTCAACTGAACGTCCTTCTATGTGCTCCACTATGCGCCCAACTCACTGTAGTTCCAGGCCCATAACCACCTCCAATTTCTGAGGTTATTGTTTTTGTAGTCTACCTCCCAGTCAATGATTATCCCAATGTCCAAATAGAAGATCGCTCACGGTTTGATTCTGATATGCTGTAGATGTAGATATTGAGACAATTGTGGTTGGTTTGCTAGACCGCGTTTAGAATATCTTCACTCTGCTTCTGCCGGCTGGAACTCACTCAATTGTAGTTGTCTCCCAACATGTAGTTGTCGATACAGATACTTGGGTTGATGTAACAGTTTGTGTGGAACATGACCCATATCCACCTCCAGGAGACGTGATAGTGACAGTCTTTGGTTCGCACGTTGAATAATGTTCTTGTCCCTCTGGTGTTATTGGAGTTACAATCGCCGCGGTTGTATTCAGATACTGTCCTTGTACAACCCCAATCAATCCCGCTATTAGTACACCGATCCCAGAATTGGATACCATTGTGAAATACCGTCCTGTCGATGTATAATGACAATAGTGTAGACAACAGCAATAATGCTGAGATCTTTTTCAACGAGCGGAGATAAAGAGACGACGGTTACGTGGTTCAGGAACGATTGACTGCAGGTAGGTGTATTTAGTTGATGTGCCTGACTATAATATACAACCAAGGTGCGTCAGCTCTAAGGCTGAAGGTTCGGAAAAGTCCAATTGAGGCGATTTGCGACCAATCAAAAAGTCAATTAACAAACTTCACAGCCATATAATTGCCAAGGTAACCTTAAAAGAATTCCGAAGCGGTGCAGGAAGCCCACGAGGACTAGTTGAACAACAAGAGAGACAAGTAAAACGAGCGAAAAGTCCAGACGATATTGTTCTGACAGAAAGATCTCAAAATGGAAAAGAGCTAGGGGACCCTAGACATTACGAACCTACAAATACACCACGTTACCTTGACAAATCCACTTTGAATATCAACTTCGTGAAATGGCAAAGATACAGGGCCAAGGGATGAGATAATAAAATCGAAGGGTAGTACATGGATTAGCACAGGGGCTATGTTGTGATTTGAGAAAGAAATGGAAGATCTATCTTTCGTCTTACTGACACTAGAGCAGGCGAGGCAGGGCAATTTTCTAGAAGAGCAACGCGGGAAAAGAAAAAGAAAAACCGTGAGCCTCAATAATAGAACAACACATTTTACTGTGCATGTTGTACCTATCCTTGACTAAACATCTTAGCATGCGATATACGATCCTTGCATACTATCGTCTAACAGAAAATGATATGCATCTTGGCAAGCGGATCTATAAACCCAATGCAATCCTTTGGATGACGAGAATAACGAGGATGGATTTCGCATATCACTACATGATATCGGAGCAAGAAGACCATGCCGTTCATGTCTTTTTCCTTCGGGAAATTCTTCCGTACAACGGATTGCCACCTTCTTTGCAGGACCGATCTTTTTTTTTCCAGAATGGCATGTTAATAAAATGTTTGTTTACTCTTGGAAAGTAAGATCCCGGAATTTTAACCTTGCCAGATCATTGCAGCCATGTCTATTTTGGGGGCTATTCCGTGTAGCTGGGTAGTTTGGCTGAATCAAATGAACCATGGAGATTTTTTGTGGCCTACCAACTGTTGTCAAAAGAATCTGCAAAGCGGTTGAATAAGAAATTGACAGGTGACAGAGTGGGATAAGAGGCTGAGTGGCAGTGGAGAACATGTTGGACTTTCAGTGGAATTCTGCTTACTTGGTAGAGGGGAGTGGTGAGTGTTGGGTATTGGGTATTGGATGAATGGATAGGAAGAGGGTCTTGAGGCTGTTAGGTAAAATCTCACTGCAGCACTTTTTACTTGTTCATTCTTCCACTTTTCACTCTCGCAGTCGTCATCATGGTGCCTCGATTGCATACGACCGAATATGCAGGTGATCGCTTCTAGCCTTTCGTTGCCTCAATTTTACGATGTTTACATACGTTAGAGACAGCAAATGGATAATGGATGGGAGCCGAGCCGAGAGTAGGTCGTATGGAGGTCGAGTGGGAGGTCAAGAAACGGAAAGAAAATAAGAGGTGGTTGGTGCGAGGTACAGTAAGTGGAGTCAAATGGTGGCTTGGTGGATCACACGTTGGAGCAATGATTGGTCGAACATGCATTACCTATCGTTATCATTCGAGGATGAAGGGATGAAATGTGGAATACTCGCTTAAGCACCCTTCTAGGGAAAATCGTCAGACCCATCCTCAATTGTATTGAAAGCTCATTATTCGTTCATTATGGCAAAGAACATCTCATTCATCAATATCCTCGTATCCATTTTACCATCCTTCCACCACGCTCCATGGACATTCACCACACTTTCACATCAACACGCTACACATGTTCATATATTTTCTCATTCACTTCCACCAGTGATCTATTCCCATCATGATATACGTAGAACATACCTTGCTAAGTGCTTACTCATACAAACAAAACATATATCAACTGCTTTATCATCTTACCGCATCGCATCCTCCCAGACTCATCTAGAGCCTCATGAATCATGATATACTAAGAGAATTTTGTCGTGGTTGCCCAAAAGTAATTTGCCTTCATCTGAGTCTCTGAAATCCTCATTACCCCACTTCGCGGATAAACAACCGAACAAAGTTAAGCCCCGCCATTTCATTCGATTTTGCGGAGTAACATCACGAGCAACCAAAAGTGGAAGGTCGAAATAGGAAAAAAACTTGGAAGGAACCACATAGGTAAGATTACTACCTAGTAGGTATTTATTTATTTTGAATTTTTTCATTGGAAAGAAAATCGAAAACTTCTTTTTGCAACTTCGAATCTGTACATATTTTGGCGTTACCTTGAAATCCCAAAAGAAATATGCCAGAAAAGATCCTAGACGACATCTCGCACAGGAGATTTAACCCATTGCGGGGTACTTGGCTTCTTGTCTCCCCTCATCGTACCAAGAGACCATGGCAGTAAGTTTTGGAATCTTTCTGAAAACATGAGAATTCGCCCCGGATAAAAACTAACATATATGGAAGAGGACAGCAAGAAGCGGCTTCGAAGATTACACTTCCAGAATATGATGCTGCGGTATGCCGAAGATATTCCCGAGTTAGATACCGCAGACTAATGTATCTTATAGTGTTACTTATGTCCAGGAAATAAACGCGCGCAGGGAGATTCTAACCCACAGTATAAAGACACTTTCGTTTTTGTGAATGACTACAGTGCAGTCAAGGAGGTTCAGGCTGAGTATGCGCAGGATGGGGAATCAAAAGGTCCGTTTGTCGTCTTGCCCTCCTACTGTTCAGTCCTCCCATCTCCTAATTTGGATACTACACCCTTCTTTCCATATACCAAGACGGCATCTAACAAATGATGTAAACATTCAGATCTCTCGAACACTCTCCTACGCGCGGAGCCCGTTACAGGAAAATGCTATGTTCTAACATTCTCTCCTTCGCACAACCTCACGCTCGCAGACCTCACTCCTGCTCAGATTCTCCCCGTCATACAAACATGGACAGAGATCTACGCCGCACATTTGTCTCCTTCCTCACCCCTGGCAAGTGTCGCTCAACCTACTACCCTTGCACCCTCAGGCCATAATATTGGAGCTCCAAATCAACAGTACAAATGGATGCAAATCTTCGAGAATAAAGGTGCCGCAATGGGTTGTTCGAATCCCCATCCTCATGGACAAATATGGACTACAACCGGATTACCCGAAGAGCCCGCTTCTGAACTCGTTAATCTCCTCAAATATCGCCAGGAAAATTCTGGTCGACATTTATTGGAAGATTATGTCAAGCTTGAGATGGAAAAGGAAGAAAGAATCGTATTCCAGAACGAGACCTTCTTGGTAGTTTGTCCATGGTGGGCAACCTGGCCATTTGAGGTTATGATCATTAGCAAGACACATAAAAGAGGTCTGGTTGATTTGAACGATGCAGAAAAATTGGGATTTGCGGAGGCTGTTGCGGAAGTCACGAGAAGATATGATAATTTGTTCGAGACTAGCTTTCCTTACAGTGAGTACCCTCAACTCTCATTGTGCATTCATTTTCTTTTGAGTATTTGCATATACCCCTCCCACTATTTCTTCTTTTGTGGAGCTGAAATTTTTGGCTAACCGACGTAGGCTCTGGCATTCACCAGGCTCCCTTGGAAGGTACTGAGGAGGAGATCAATGCTTCTTATTTGCATATGCATTTCTATCCTCCTCTTCTTAGAAGCGCAACCGTGAGAAAGTTCTTGGTCGGATATGAATTAATGGCCGAACCACAAAGAGATATCACCCCAGAGCAAGCGGCTGCTAAGCTTAGAGCATGCGGCGGAGAATTATATAGGAAGAAGTTGTAGAGGCTTACATGGAATGGCCAATTGGCCAGAAGAGGGCTTGAGCATGAATGTCAAAAGATAAATCTACAGCTTGGTAGGATTCAAAAAATGTATTCTAGACGTATATGTCGCTCAATCAACCCACGTACCCTCTGATATGAATGCTAGCTCGGCTATCACGACGCGTATTGTAGCAATTAGAACTCAGGGCTAGCGTTATTAAGAGGGCTTTTGGTCTAGTGGGTGGAAACTAGAGATGTGTATTGAATTCAGATGGAGATTTTCATCAGATCAAAATCGAAGTGTAAATTTACCTGGTGTTAATTGAGTAGATGAAATGTTCCGAAATCAGAGTGGATTGCCGTCCTACAAGCTAATTTCCTGATTGGGGTTAGCGCATTGTCTTATCAGACTAAATTTCTCATCGAGCTAGCCCACATCAGAGAAAGATCCCCTCAACCCCGTAAGCAACGACCAACACCAACACCAACATTGACCCATTTACTTCCTTCCTGCTTTCGCATTCCTAACTTTAGAAGGAATCTTCTGCCGAACCATGTGATTGTCGCCATCGTGCTTCCTACAGAGTACGTCGCGTCGCTGCACATGTGCAGAATGCCGATGTATACTCGCGGCTTTTCTTGAACTCTATGATCCAGCAACTACCCGTGAGACACCGAAAATATAGTCTCTTATGAAACTCACTCAGAAAGCCATCAATCTGCTGGTTTCTGATATTTATCTGCCACTATCAACGCCCGTTCGTGTTGGAAGTGAAGACATGCAATATATACTTAAATCTTCTTGAACCTACTTTTCGTTGGATACGATGGAGATCGGATGAGATTGCGTTGGCATCAGCTGAATTATTTTCCACCCACACAAGGCTGATAGATTGCAGGGAATGTTGAAGGCTAAGTCCTAATCCGTATCAATATTTCATACCTTGTCAAATCGTCCGTTGATTTACCCTGCTGTTGCAGCATGCAAGTTCAAGCATTCTCCCCACCAATCCTCAGTCGATCTCCATTAATCCACCCAGAGCGGGCACATTCATGAGAGGTCATTGAACCGATGGTAGGGTCGCATTTTTTCCTTTCCGTGCGTGTGCATTGATTGATACAGTCAGAAGAATTGTCAACTTTGAATACCGAATTCTTGCTCGGTCTCGATGAACATCAGGCATTAAAGTCAAGGCATCGCTGGTTTTGGTGGCGGAAGTGGCAACAATCTTTATTGATCTTTACTGGTGAAGGGAAGAAAAAAGTTTAGTGCAGGTACATCCACGATACAAGTTGTTTTGCGATGCGCCGGGCCTCTTCAATCTTCAATCCAAAAGGCACCACGCAAAAAAAGGTTTCCAACCTTCATAATTGTTAATCATAATGATTCGGTCGAGTTTCATCTATTGGATTGGCGCTTTCGTCCCGTTATGTTTGGGACAAGAAGCCGGATGGCTTGAAGGTCAGGTAAATACGACAATGTGTTACTGGACATCGCCCCGAGGTACGTTTTTGCGAATATGACATCTGCACGTTTGATTTTCCTTCACTGCAACAGCAACAGCAATTAACGATACTAGCTGCGGTGGTGCGAGACACCTTCTATATTGATGGAGGAGAATTGTACTGGGAGCCTGGTATGAGCGATGGAACATATGATCCTCCCGTCGTCGATGGTAGGTTCAAATGCTGAAATATTGAGACAGTACTTACTTTCTTAAAGGGAATCCACTAGGACTCGTATATCTTCTCAACTTTAGCACTCCTTTTCACACATCAGACAATATCTCTTCTATCTTTACAACCATTTCCAAGGCTCCGAATGGGGGATCCGCCAGTAATCTCGGACCAAACTATGTTGATGGGGCAATGTTTGCAAACGACGACGAATGGTACACTTATGGCGGGCTTTTGTCTCTCACAAATGCCTTTTCAGCGCCAGACGCAGACTCTGCCATATCATACGAAGTCTACTCAGATGGTACACCTGGTAAACAATTTAACCCAGGTTTTGCACAAGTCGACCTACCAACAGGCTTGACAAGATATGTGACGTACGGAGGAGCCGTTAGCATTCCATCCGAAAATCTAGGATTTTACTTTTCGGGATACAGAGCCGCAAACTTTGGACCTATTTATAAACAGCCAAGCCCGAGAAATGCGTCTTATTTAGCAAATGTGACATCTCAAACTTTGATTAGCATTGATATGGCGAGTCAAAACGCACCCAAGTGGTCCAATGACTCTTTCCCTTCGACTGTTCCAGGCCGCGCTAATCCTGAAATTGCCTGGATTCCCGTTTCGAATCAAGGCATATTGGTCGCAGTTGGTGGAGTTATCGATCCATCTTATTCTAGCATTGTCCAGGCCAACAATGCATCTATCAATGAACAAAGCGTGAGTTGTCGCTTTCCCATTCTATAACATGTTTATTGATTATCAATAGAGTCAAATAAGTCCCGGCTTTATGACGACTGTTTCCATTTACGACATCGCTGAAAAAGTTTGGTACGAACAAGAAACATCAGGAAACTCTCCAGGAGCGTTGACCCAAGGATGCACTGTAGTTGCATCAGCTGAAGATAGTTCAAGCCACAATATATATTGGTATGGAGGTTATGATGGCATTGATCCTACGCAACCTTTCTCGGATGATGTTTATGTTCTTTCGATCCCTTCATTCATCTGGACGAAAGTTTACAATGGAAGTGCTACTCACGGTCGGGCTGGACATAAGTGTGTCAAACCATATCCTGATCAAATGATCATTTTAGGTGGATACGCCGCTCTTACTACTGCAATTCCACATTGCCTTGAAGATGGTATAATCCAAATATTCAATCTCAGTGACGCGAAATGGCTGGACTCTTACGACCCTTTGGTTTGGAGCAACTACACTGTACCCAGTCAAGTTGTATCTGCGATCGGAGGTTCTGGGACTGGTAGCGCTTCACAGACTAAACCGTCTGGAGGGTTCACAAATTCAAGTATGACAGAGCTCTTAGCAACTGCCTACAACACAACAAAAATCACAAACTGGTATCCGTATACGCCAGTTTCATCAATCCCTCCAAATAACCGAACAATCCTTCCTACACCCGTCGCTACTAAATCAGGATCCCCTTCATACCTCGGACCTGTTTTAGGTGTTGTTTTGGGTCTCTTCTTCATCACTCTTCTCATTTTAGGCTTTATCATCTATCGTCGTCGCAAGGTTTTTGGCCTCTCGCGAGCGGATCGACAAAGTGAAGCTGGAACTCTGTATGAAAATCGCCGACGTACTCTCCGATGGCTTTATTCTACTCCTAGAGATGTAAAGGCTCCTACAGTTACAACTGATGAAACAGAACTCAATGCGGTATCTTCGGAAGCTGATACTGATCACACACGCGTATTTGCCGCCGAAATGCCAGGTGATACACAATTCCACGAAATGATGGGTATGTGACCCTTCAGCCCTTTATTTTTAGATTAAAAATTAACTAGCCTTACCTTGTAGATACATCTCAGCCCTCCGAACTCCACAACACAGGCTTTGTGCCTCTTTCCCCTAAGTCTAATGTTTGGAACAACGTTTCCCGTAACCAAACTCCCATCACGCATTCTCCATCCGCAGGTTCCAATCACTCGCATGCTAGTACCGTTTCTAGAAGCTCGGGTCCAAGATCCTCTCCCATTTCTCCTGCTCGCGCAGATAGTGTGACGCTCAACGAACAGGCAGGAGGTGCCACGAAGGAGAGAATTCATAGTGATTTGAGTAGTGTTACTGAAAATGAAAGAACTCACCTAAGACAGATTAGTGACGCGAGTGTAAGTGTAGATGGAGATTATGGGAATCTACCAACGCCTGAGATACAGATTGAGAGGCCGCATGAGGAGCGTGGAATTGAAGAAGAGGTTGAGAGACCTGGAGTGGTCAGTCCATTGACGCCACCGCAGGGGGTGGGACAAGGGAGACAGCATTACTTTGGTCCAGATAGTGTTGGAGGCAGTGTTGCACAGAATGTTCCGGCGCCTGAAACAAGGAGGAGAAGTAATTTTGAAGAGAAATTGGATGAGTAGAATTAAAGGGGCAATTACAAGTACATAGTTTCCATGGAAGGAAAGACGAAAAATTTACGAATCATGATGGCACTCGAGTGGGGATTTGGCTGGATGAACAGGATAGTAAAGGCATTGGGGGTCGTTACGGATAATCTTTACGGATGTATATTCTATGACATCATATCTACAGCTTTGCATTTAGTTTCTAGTCTTTAGTTTTTAATCTTATACCTTTCTCTTTCATCTAATGAGTCTTGTTGATTTCATTCGAAGCGTAGGTTAAAATTTAATACTTGGAGATTTGAAATTGGTAATTTTCTTCATAGACACATACACATGCACACTCGAATGTTGGGGCAACTTCATGTATATCCAATCATATTGAATAGTGCGGATAAATGTCAAAAGGCTTTTATCCGGTCGGGTACCTGTTTTCTTCGTGAATTCCGACTGAAGGGTAACATCGGCACCCAAACTTGCATGAAATCTTGATATTCGTGGCTAGTAATAAAAAGGATGACTGGTCCGATGTTTAGGATTTGCATTCATGGTCTTCCCACATATGGCTACGAAGTGAAGAAACACAAAATCTAGATCTCTAACGCTCTTGCATAATTTAGTAATGGACCACATCGAAATTTTCCCTGCCGCACACCATCTCGGGAGCTTGGTTCGTGAATTGAAATCTTGGGAGAAAGGCAAAATGTATGGATGGCGGATACTCCGTGCAGCGTACCGAGCTACAAAAAAGTCTACACACATCAGATGAATAGAAAAAATGTGTCGCGGATCATATATTTCCTTCCATTTATTGCGGATGACACCTTCGTTTGCTCCGGATGCAGCACCAGTGCTCAGTATTGATTTTTCGTATCCGTTGAAGATCTTGTCTTCATTTAATATATGTGGTGTGCGAGAAGTTTGGTAAGGAAAAACTGATGTGCAGCTCAATTGAATTCGATAAGAAAGGGGATTATTATGCGAGCGCGGCTTGCGGTACGGCCTGCCCGAGGAGGAGTAAAGAATTGGTCTTGATCTAAATATCGAAGATCCGAAGATGGTGTGGGCGAGAAGAGGGGAATTAGACAGGGGGTTTTCGGTTGACTGATTTGGGATGGGGGATGCGGTTTATGTGAGATGGAAATGTGACATGTGATATTGTGCTCTATCCTGGTATGTATGATCGGGACCGAAGTACAGGTGGTTGGTCTTGGCGTATAGATACAAACGAGAGGAGCAAGTGCGTTTGGGTTTGGAGTCATGTGTTTCTTCATAATGGGATGAGATTGGATTTTCTTCGTGCATCTACTTGTGTAGTTTTTAACTCTTGCTTGATTTTTAGCTCTTCCAGACTCCCCTTTGCATTCTACTCAATGCTGTTATAAGCTCCCTAATGATGTTTCCCCGTATTTCATGCTACTAGGTATCATGGAGGTATTTTGGAGTTTTTGCCAGAGAAAAGGATGGAGGAAACGAAACATGGACAAATTGGGGGGTTGTTATGTTCGTAACAGTCGATATATAGACTGTTGTTTTGTATTATACCTCTACCTCATGTTATAACGGTTCATCATTCATTAGCAGCCGTTCTGTTTGGGAGTAAGCACTAATCACATATTAGAAAAAGACTTCATGCTTTTTTATTTAACCAGTACAAGCTCTTCTCATTTCCTCGAATACAAAAATGAATAAGCGAGCTTTTCGGAAATCCAGGCCTGGTGGGCTTACTCTCTTGCTTCATAGGCTGTAGTTGTAGATCCTAACAATACCTAAGCCCTCATCATTCCTTGTCCAGACAACTCCGAAGTTCGGATTGAATTTATGAAAAGAATGAAAGAATATGTCTGAATTTACCAAGCGTTCTTGAATTTGGTGCAGAGTCGACGGCTTGTGCTTTGATTCACATAGATTGTAACGATGCAATGAAAGTGTTCTCAACGCATCCACTTTCACATTATCGAAAAACTACATTCCGACTGAATATCTAAATGGCTCATGCAGAGAAATGTTTAGTTGAGCAATTGCTTGACACACAGAGCAAGATCAAGACACCACAGTAATCTCGGAACTATGTCCCTTTGTTGTTATCGTCGGACTCATATACTGTACGCGAGTCTCTCTTGAAGAGCATCAGGTCTCACATGAAATACGGAATCTATATGAAATGTTAAATTGACACTCGGTGTATTAGATCCAGCTTAAAAGTTCAAACCACTTGGGTATTCCAGACAACTGGGAAATGAGTTCTTTTTGAGTTTCCGGCAAACGCTACTTGAAAAATGCTTCATGTATCTATAAGCAAGATGAGAATTCCCATTTTGTGATGGGAAGATCGTGTATTGATATTTTACAGATTTGACCTGCAATGATATGGAAGTTCTAGGTCTTTTGATGAGTATAGAATATATTACTATAACGCACAACAGGAAGATCTACGAGTAGAGGGACCGTAGCTTTCTGGTCGCCTCAATACCTCTTTACTTTCCACATAACCTATCAACTACAATCAGCCGCTCACCACAACAGACATTCAATTCTCGTTATTCTAGATTATTCGATCCTCATCCCCTCCTTCCGCCAGACATACACAATAGCAGAGCGCGCCCACGTATCCCAATATTAACAACAGCATACCAGACGCCCAGTAATCCCTCGTAGCAAAGAACATATATGGTGCTAGCCTAAGAGCCGTGATACATCTAGAAATGAGAATTTTGATAGACTGGCCCGACGTGGAAATAGCGATATCTATAGTGAGACCGAACTGAAGGGTTGCATATTACGGGTTAAAGGAAAGGTTATCCGAAGTCAAATCTATAGCTGAGACGATCGATAGAAGGCGTCGGAACCCAGGAAAATTAGATACCATCCGGATACTGGATATCATTGCCATTTGTTGCTTAAAAGGATACAGCGCGGCTTGCGATGCTCCGAGCTGCATTTCAGAATTCAAGAAGCTTCAACTCTTGATTCAAATTACAGCACACAACTCACCCAAAAGACTGAATACATGTTGAATTTCGAATTCTCCGTCATAGACTGAAAGCCGTTGAATGACTGACTGCGGGCCGGATATTTGGAAAATTTAGAGTGGTGCAGTCTAGGCGATGGGGAGACACCTGGCTAAGGTTTAGATTCAAGAATTTAAGGGAAAGAGTAGTATATCTGGAAACCGGACTTAGCCACACATTTGAGGAAGGGCTGATTGAGACGAAAACAATATTATGGTGGTACTGTCGATGAACTCGAGTCAACAATTTTGGTCTTCAGCATTTAGCCACAAAATCCCAAATAAATCGGAATTTATGTATAGATTCATGCAATTCTCACACCAAACTTCTTTTGCGGAGCTTCCTAAGTATCTTTAGAAAAGTAATCGTTGAATAGTTCAAATCATGTACCGATACGCATTGTTCCATGAATAAATCAGATATCGGCATCGCTTGACCTCCTGGACTAAATCCGATCTACCAATGTCTTAACTCAGTATTGTTTGCAAATAGCAGATGCCTAGGTGTAAGAATGCAATACTATTTGACATTCATGCAATTTCTCTGCGTGATTTCATAGGACTGAGTGTAGAAAATCTCATGGCTACACGACTCCGAGTAGCTTGCTTGCCTTGTCGCTCATTAGTTGGATCGGCTGTGTTTAGACTTCACTTCCAGCTGCATATCAGACTTCGATGTTCAAAACTATTACATATCACCTCAAGAAGCCAACCAGTTGACACTAGACTAACATGACGGGCTCTGCTGCTCTTGTTGCACTCATTGTTCCCTTGCAACGGAAGAGCTCAGCATGTCTGGAACTTTAGTTGCCTTAACATGTTAAAAACACCCAGCTCTTGGAGGGCTTGTGCATTATACACCGACCTTCAAGTATCGGCATCAAACTCGAGTGAATATAGAGCAGCACATGCCGCTGCGGTAGGGCAGGAAACGGGCGTGTGGGCCACCGCTGTCTTCGGCAAATTTAATCATAGGGGTCTTGGCAGGGGCTGCATGCATTTTGAAGTCTCAAGAAACGAAAGACTGCCTGACTTGAGGTCATGTGGCTGGCCAATTACCAGTCACATCGATACAATTGGAAGAGCTGCAGGATTCATAGCTTTAGTTGATGTGGATGTGTACAGATCAATTCTACCAACATGGATGAGAAGAAAGTCAGCACACTTTGCTGAAATTATTCTCAAGATTCATCTTGAACAGGTGAAAGCAGACGCAGATCTCATACGTATCCGCCCAAGAGATCTAGAGCAGAAACGGCATTCATTTCTGGAGAAAAATGGTTGCTCATCACGCTTTCTGCCTTGTTTTGAAGCAGGTGACCTTTATCCCCGGAAAATGGAGGATTCTATCAACGCCCCAATACCAGCACGTAAAACTATGTTTCCACTCCTGTGCCTTTCGTCAAAATCCATCATTGAAGCTGCGAACGGCAGGACCTTTGAAGATGACCCGAGACATCTCTTTCCGTCAGTGTGACTTACGGTATCATTAGTTATTGTGACAAAACGATGCAATCATACAGCAAACAGTTTAATATAGATCAGGAACCATTCAGATAGAGCCCGAATGAATCAATAGCCAAAGCCATATCCTCTTTGTTGGAAGCGGCATCACCATCTTGGTGCCAACCTGGAAACTTTGTTGAGGAACAGCCAAAGGAACTAGCAAAGGCACTTTCGGGAGCTGGAACTCCTGTGAGATTGTATGCTCAGTACTATATATTGAGATCGGCTTATGTGACTGTGATGATGACAATGCCTGGTGAATTGTGGCCGGGTTTAGAGGATACTAAACATGTTACTGCTCTTGCTTACTTGGCATGAAACTTTCCTGAAGGCTGAACAATACAACTCTTCTTATAATATGGAGGATTTCATAGATCGATAATATCCAATCCATGAAAATAGTTTATAGTACAGTGTGATAGTTCAAGTGTTTAGGCTATGATATATGCCCCTGCGGACTTGTGGCAAGCTTGCCGAGGTTTCGGCATCTTCTCCACAAAATATGGAGACACCATCATTGACAACGCATTTTCAGCTACAGCAGATCTAAGCACTAGGTATGTAAATTAAATTTGTATGATAATCATTGCACAATTTTCCCTTTTGCTCTCTTGATCTTATCGCCATTTTCTACTCTGCACATCCCTCAACTATACCCCGCCATCGCAAATCCCACAATATGTCCACCGGTACGCCCCTCAAAAACACATTGCTATCCTTTCCAACAGCTTCGACTCTCCTCATAACCATCAACCGACCTTCATCGCTCAACTGCCTCGATACCTTTACCCACAACGAACTCGATCGTGTTTTCAGATGGTTTGACGCTGAGCCCGGTCTTCGATGTGCCATCTTAACGGGTGTCGGGAGGAGTTTCTGTGCAGGCGCAGATCTCAAAGAGTGGGATTCCAATAATTCGTTATCTACTTCTGCCTCAAGTCAAGCTCGTTCATTACCAGCATCTGGTTTCGGAGGCTTAAGTCGGAGAGGCGGAAAGAAACCTATCATATGTGCTGTGAACGGGATATGTTTTGGGGTGGCTGTGAGATGATCATAAATGCGGATATGGTGATTGCAGAATCTCATGCTGTGTTTGCGTTGCCGGAGGTGAAGATTGGAGTTGTGGCCCTTGCTGGAGCATTGACTCGGTTAGTTCGGACGGTAGGAAAACAAAGAGCTATGGAAATGGCGTTAACGGGAAGAACGCTTGGGGCTGAAGAGGCGATGGAATGGGGGTTGGTCAATAGAGTCGTAGGAACTGGAAAGAGTGTTGAGGAAGCTATCAAACTGGCGGAGCTGATAGCAGCAAATAGTCCCGACAGTGTTATTGTGAGTAGAGAAGGTATTAAGATGGGATGGGAAGGTGTTGGTGCGGAAGAGGGCACTAGATTGATTGAACAAAATTGGTATAGTAGGATGGACAAGGGGCCAAATATGAAGGAAGGAGTGAGGAGTTTCGTGGAGAAGAGGAAACCGAATTGGGTACCTAGTAAATTGTGATTTTGCGTTTTCTTTTTGTATTTAGCTAGATTATATCCCCTCTGTTGAGCAGTCGTAAATTGTATATCATGAAACATCGCACATGTGCAATTTCACAGTGAACCTATCTCACCTCGTCTTCCCTACAATGGATGGAATATACCTCGTATCGTATCTCATAGTTACCATTAGCTCAATACATTCCGCCCCTCCATGGCCTACCCAGCCTATTTTCCTCCTTCAGATCCAACATATCAAGGTAACTAATCCATCCCTTCTCATGCCATTCCCTCAGATCACATCCCTCCTGGCCCGCTTCCAACGCGATGGCATTCACAGACAAATACCCCGTCTTCCCTTCTATCCACTCAGTTGGCTTCCCATCCACCGCTCCTTCCTTCGGGCACATCCAAACCTCTCTTTCACCCTCTTCAACTTCCTCTCCGTTAACCTCGGTAACCCCGAGTTCCTTCAAATTTACCTTCCGCGTTTCTCCATTTTGAAAATTCAATCCAGTTGCGAAAGGTCTTACACCACAAATACCACAAAACCACCAATCAAGCTCTTTGTCAAAACATTGGTAATTTCTCATTCCCTGATCCTGCCATCCACCTTGTTCATGCGGCATTCCTGTGGGACTTAGAAGCATGAAATCATTTGGAGAATCCGGAAGTCGGATATGGAAAAGACCCATTTTATGACAGGTGGTACAGTTGCATTTGCGGAGGCGCACGGTAGTTTTTGCAGAAGGTGTTGCTTCGATCACGGGGGGTGGAAGGCTCACGAATATCACGAAGCGAATTAATCCGCAGTGGCAGGAACCATGGTAAGGTTTGCGGGTGGCTGTAGAAGTCGTCGTGTAAGTTGATGACATCTTGATAATTTAATGGAGCCACGTGAGTAGCCTTTTTCCTACAAACAAGTTATCTTATAATAGATACTTGTACGTCTTTGAATTTGGAAAATGTTAAGATTCCGAATATATCAGAGAGGTGAATGCTACTTATACCCCGCAGTGGTTGGATAAGGGTGTAATATCCTTATCTTGCAGCATTGCTCCTCACGTCACCAGTTGTCAAATGAAAGGCGTATATCATGTACTTAATTAATTGCAAACGAATAACACTTCTAGTTACAATTACAATCCACGAAGTCAGCTGGATTCGCGATACGGGGGTTTTGGTTAACTCTGATGATGGATGCGTAATTGCGATAACAGCATTGCTCTTGATCTACCTACCTGCTTCTGCCCCCACTGTTGTGTAGCCAGGAACATGGAACATATTATATGTTTCATTATGGAGAAGATTAGTCTGGCCCATGCTTGCATTCGAACCAGAGGAAGTGGATCGGGGAAGAAGCAACGCAAAGAAGAGAAGTAGCTAATAAGTACAAAGTAAAATCGCGTTCTTTGGATCATCTGCATCATTTTGAAGAATAAAAGAGAGAGAAAGAGAAGTGCTTGCAGCATGAAAGCCCTCATCAGAGCAGGTGTCATAATTCTTTCTCCCTTTCCATTGATTTCTCAATTCTGTAGCAAACTGTTTTGTATTGCACCCACAGGCAGATAAATACGAAATATCTTACCTACTCCTTTCGAAAGCCGCTCATAAACTTCTCTATCGCATAAATAATAACATTAACCAATCAGATTAAGATGCCATGTTCCATTGAGCTAAAGACGCCACTTCAGCACTTGTACGGAATGACCTATGCCAAATGTCTTGCCCACGAATGTCCGTACGAACTGCGAGAGTCAGCCCTAAAAACCTCATGTCCCTCGCAGGGCTTTGACATGTAGTACACGAGACTATCCGTGTATGCTGATCTGCACGAGTTTAACGCCAAGTAATTTGCGACGCGATCCTGTCACTGGGCTGATGTCCTGCTTAGTACAGTTCTATATTTTGTGTCTCAAGAAACAATTGTAGTTATGATTATCTGGAGTATGAGCCACTGTAATAATATCTGGAGCAATAATGCTGAAGAGTGCAGACCAGATCACTAGATTGGTCATAAGCCTCTGTGGGATTTCATTCCGTTGCTCGGTTGCCCATGAAGGCGCCCTACTGTACTGCAGGTCTCAACTCATGCTATGCATACTGTACCTCATAGTGAGACCTACATAGAGGATTGTCAGCATAAAAAACCGTGACCTGGTCTTCAATACACAGAGGAGTTTACCTTGGGCGTTCTGTGTAACTTATTTCGTCCATCACTTATGTATCTGCGTAGAGTCCTTTTTTAAGTATTGAGGAAAAAACATGATGCGGCTGAGACGGGCTTATTGAATGCTGGTATAGGAAAATGAAATGTTGTAGCTAAAGAAGCATCATCCATCCTATCATTGCAATAATATGCTGTTGCATGTTACCATTTCGCATTAGCTCATAAATTCAATGCTCACCAGGCGCGGGGTAATTTAGCGCCTTGGCAATTCTCTTGTTTACATCGCGTATGTCTTCGCCTGTCAAGAGTTATGTTAGATCATAGCAAACCATTTGTTTGGCAAACCCATCACACCACTCATCAAAAGAGGACTCACTCATAGGTTAAGTAGGTAGTAGGTAAGCCCAGTCAAATTTCGTCTCACCGACGTCTAAAATGTGGCATTTCTCGTATGACCCAGAGCGACTCTCAGCTCATACATTAAATCATCATAAGAGTCGAAGCCTCTCTTCATCTATCGCTATACTTTGAAAGGTGCTTTGCTAAATCCAGTTTCAATGGAACTCAAACCAGACACCTCAATGGAGGGTACACCAGAATCATCTCAAGTCTCTGTGCTTTTCCTCGCATTTGACACTTTCAACACACTTGATATTCATGGACCTCTTGACGTGCTAGGAAATGTCGCACTCAGCGCAGATCCTTTCAAACTTACAATCGCAGCTCAAAATGATATCATCACTTCAGCCGAAGGAGCAAAGATCCAACGTCACATCTCCTTCCTCACAGCCTTTGAAACCCTCGAGAATTATGATATTCTCATCCAACCCGGGGGTCTTCCCGACGATATCTTTCCTCATCTATATCCACATACAGATAGTACATTCTCAGACATGCTCAACATTATCAGAGAATTTTCACGACTTGGTCCATCACCTCGTTTACAGAACCCGCGGGTAATAATGTCGATATGTACCGGAGCACTCTTTCTTGGCTCTGCGGGTATATTCTCGGGTCTGAACGCTACGACGCATTTTCTCACTCTTCCGAAACTCAAAATTATCTGCGACGCATATACCGCGAAGAAGCCATCTTATAACCCAACAACTGTCGTACCGAATCCTGCTTCCTTAAATTTCAGATATGTGAAGGAACAATTGAGTTTAGACAAGAAAGTTAGGGTTATCAGTAGTGGAGGTATTAGCTGTGGGATTGATGCTACACTTTATCTGTTGGCCTTAGTGAAGGGAATATCGCCTGCTCTAGCTGTAGCACAAATGATGCAATATGCTTGGAGAGAGATGCCATGATGATTTATGAGTTGATTGTTCCCAGTAGTCTGGTCCGCAGTGCGACAAAGATCGTTATTCCTCGATATTGCTTAGTGCATGGGTGCATTTAGCAAATCAATCTCCTCGGATTATTAAGTTATAATCAAAGCTCAACTGCTTTTTAACTTATTGAAAGTGGTTGATTCATGACTACCATTCGAACAGATGAAGACTATGTGCATTATCGGAACGTGTTTGAAGAGTAAGTTGAATATTATCATTATTCTCTAGAATAAGGGCATAATCTACATCATTCAAGACACTTGGTGCATAGTACTCGCCTGTCACTACCTCTATAATGGCCTTGCGTATATTCCAACACTCTTATCCATCCCATTGCTCTAGATTGTTGTCTCCCGTCTATTCCAACGGCACTGGCGGGTTTCCATTGCCGCAAAATACATCAAACCTGTCAAACTCCAAATTTCAAATGCTAAAATCCCAAATCCCCAGCTTAATGCCTATAATCTCCTCTGATATAAGCTGGAGGTAAAGTAGAAGGAGTATTTACACGGTTTTCCTCATCAACCGAATCATCTCCCTCATTTTCTGGCGCCTCCTCGTCTGAGTCATACCCCCTATATGATGGTGCGTGCGAGTACGCTGGCGGTGGGGTCACAACCCCTGGGGTTACCGGATCTGGTCTTCTTGTCGGCATCGAGCGGTAACCAGCTGTGTTTTGGAACACAGGAAGTGCCGCAACTTCCCTTCTCAATTCCTCGTTATATATTCCTGTATTTGCGCTTGCTGTTGTGATCGTCGTAGATTCTCGGTATTGTTCCTCATTACTTCCGGTAGCCATAGCATGCTGAGCACCAGAGTTTTGCTGGAAGATAGGAAATGAGGCTACTTGTCGACTCACTTCCTCATCTATTGTAATTGGACCTGTGGATCGACTGGGTCGACGAACATGAGCTGGTGGGGGACTAGGCAGATTATTCGCGAAGATAGGATATCTAGAGACCGCTCGATGTACCTCACTATCTACTCTTTGCATCATGTCTGCAACACTTTCGCCGGGCCGTAATGTGTATATAGAATCTAGCTGTTCAACAGGACGTGAGACGACCCGAATGCCAATATCAGTGGGAACATAGCTTTGCTGAAATCGGAGGGGTCTGTCGTTATTTGTTCTTGCTTGTCCAACTTCTGGCTCAACTCTCGCACCGAGTGCCGCTCTTGCTGCCCCAATCTGACCGGTTGGTCGGTAGTAGCTTTGATTTCTTAGACTGCCTGCTGTATAATCTTCTTCGACTGGTGAATTGCTGGGAACCGGAGAAATCGTAGCACCCAATGCAGCTCTTGCAGCGCCCATTTCTCCCGTCGGCTTCGGTCTATGGGAATAAACAGGGTATAAAGTGCGACTATCATTTCGTGATTTTCGTGATCGTGTTGTCGGTGTTCGTGATAGGGGTCGTTGAGTATAGTGATCTCTTGTCTGTTCTAGCCTTTTCTTAATAGCGATTACACATGAGAGAAGAAGGAAGATAACAATCATCACGCCGACCGGTATGGCTAATATCCATGTTTTAGCGCTATCCTGAGACTTTCTATCGGAAGTAATTTTTTCAGAACGGGTATGAATATTAGTGTCTGGGTATAGATTTGGCGTTTGTCCAATTATAGTGGTCATCATTCTAAAGGCTGACTGTGCCATTTCTTGAATTATGACCACCTCTGAACGTTCGGGCTCCTCTGGAATGTACATTCTGGTCGAAAGGGCAATCTCGATACTATTCACAATCTGAATTGTGCTCCAAAGATCTATTGAAAAGATTCAATCAGAACTTGGACCTCGAATACCCTTTACAACTTTTCAATTTGTTCATAGGATTTCTTATAGAATTAAAAAAAATCGCGCAAGCAAGGGACCAAAGACCTTATTATACTTCATTCTGCTGGTTCGCCATATCGATCAGAGTTTATAGCGTTTATTCTGACGGTCTCTCTCAAGTGTCAGCCACTTCCTCAGTCGTATCAAAAAGTACAGTCTGACTTGGCGCTACCCCATGATGATCGCCTAATCCAAACCAAAAGTGGCAAGACACGAAGCTTATTTCGAGTTCGGTTACGTTAAAGTTAAATCTAGCACCTTATCTTTGGGTTTAGTACACTTCAATCACACGCCGTTGATTGGTGATCTCTTATAGGTTTTAGATGACTTCAATTTTGGACATGTGGCAATTGATTGAACTTTTTATAAGGTTCCCAGTGCCCATATATATGTCATCTTGGGGAAAATATGATGTCGTCATGAAGAATACTTTCAACTGCTCTATGGGTCATAAAGAGGAATCAGAGCCTCGATAAAAGAAAGCTCAATTCCCAATCAATGATGTCAGTTCCAAGCAAGTGAGGCTTAGTATACCTAGTT